CATTAGGTGTAAGGTTATGTAGAATGGAAATACTAAAAATCGGCTTGCAGCTGACAGGATTTTGTACCATGTTGCAATGGTATGTTAAAGTGAAAGTCAAGACTAACAACATAATACTCCTTGATGGAAGAGCTCGGCAAATGTAAGAACATGCAATTTACAGTTTTTTATATCACTTCTCATTCTCTAGATATTCAATTTTTCATCAATTTATATAGACCGCCATCTTGATTCTTCAGCAAAGGATTATGGGTAAAGTATGACATCATAGAGTCTGTTGTCAGAAATTGAGAAAATGATTTCATCTATAACTTCAAAAGTTGAACTTCATATTGGCTGAAAGTTTAGAATAGGATAGCATACATGTACTGGTGCCAAATGTACTTGTGAAATAGTTGTCATGGAAACAGAACTAAAAATATTTATTTTTATGTTTTTCTACCAAATGCTCAAATTTCCTTATATTGTATACAATTTACCGATGTGAGTAGGTTATATAGGTGATATATTACTTGTTGACCATAAAAAGTGGACAAAAAAGTGTCATTCTATATTTCACAACGAAAATAACGATTTTTATTTTTTAACGTTTTTGGCAATATCTTCAGTTTATGTGTATTTGTAACATTCTAATTTACATTACTAAAATCATATACAAGAGTAATGTGCATAACGAAAATTTGAACTAATTCACATCAGTATTTCCCATGTTATAGATGAAATCATTTTCTCAATTTCTGACAACAGACTCTATGATGTCATACTTTACCCATAATCCTTTGCTTGAGAATCAAGATGGCTGACTGCATAATACTGATGAAATGTTGAATATCTAGAGAATGAAAAGTGATTTAAAAAAACTGTAAATTGTATTCTCCTACATTTGTGGAGCTTTTTCTTGAGGGTCATTTTGTTGTTTGGCTTGACTTCCCCTTTAACACTAGGAATATACCAATTCATGTAAAAATAATTGTAAAGACATATCTACAATACATCTCTTGCATATATGGATATTTGATGACTTTCACATGAACAGCTTATACTTTATTCACATCTACTTATGTATGCCATGTCACTTATCTACCTATGTTTCATCCTGTTTTGCTTTTTATTTTGTTTTTTACGATTTATGTTCTTCCATTGGTATCACTCTAATCTGAGTTTATGTAATACGTCCAATACTTAGTTGACCGTAGTCCATTACTCACACGCATTGCAGCCAAATATAGTTTTGATAAAATGAAACAAAATTGTCACGAGTGCAAAGAACCTGAAAATAAAAGCCAGATTTTAAAAACTTGTATATGAATATATATGTAACATATGCTAAATATTGTGTACGCTGAAACCATTTGCATGCGTACAATTAAATACGGTATATTGTCAAAATTCAGAAAGGGATACTGGGGAAGACATGAAGAGTGCTAAAGATGCAATATTTATTTTAGCCACCACCTCTGAAATTTGTTTTAGTACTTACTTTATCGTGCCTATATATTTACTATGCAAAAGAACAATGAATGATACTAGGACTCCATTTGAACCTGAATATGAAGGGGATTATTCAAAAGACCAGATGCTAACTGGTACATCAACAAGTTTCAGAATCGGATATTGTACCAGAGTTTATCAAACAATTGCAGAAAGAAAAAAAAAGTCATGCATGGCACAGTCCCCATTAGTTATCAAATTTCGGATATGTATATTTTTGTTTATAGTAATATAGTTTGAACATATAAAACATGTCAGAGTTATGGATCAAGAAGCTGTAGTTTGATTATGATAATTTTTTAATGGCATCTATATCCTCAAATACATATACATGTATCGTCAAACGAGAGAAATTGTCCATGTTGAAAAATATTGCTCTAGAACATAATTAATTAAAACAAAATGGCCATCGGTCGGCCATTTTGAATCAGATAGTCAAACCAATGAATCTATGACATGATGTATAATGAATATATACAATTTGAAGATAATCAGTCAAAGCATGTTGGATATGTGGCTCTAGAACCACATTAATTAAAACAAAATGGCCGCCAATCGACCATTTTGATTGCGAAAACAAAAATTGAAAATTGAAAAACAAAATCACGTGCCTCAGGGACCCATAATTTCTAATATATGTACCAAGTTTGAATAAAATCCATCTGCAATCGGCCATCTTGAATCAGTGTAAATAAAGTTAAAACTCTTCTTTCAACACTTGACTCACTTTTTAAAAATTGTTTCGAAAACCATCATACTGCTTTCAACTGAAAATGTTTCCAACAGACCGTGCTACAACTTCGTTATACTTCCGCAGTGCATTCTTCATGATCTCTGCCATTCGAGATTCCGGATTCTACCGCGATTACCATGCAGCATTGATTGGTTGATTGGCAACATTTGTCGGTCAACTATTGCTTCACAAACACCACGGCGGATAAATGTTTTTGTTGAAGCAATAGAATTATCAATTTTTTCTCATATTTCATATCAAATCAAAGAAGTATTCTAAGTAAGAAGTATGTATGGCATCATGACTGAATGTCACGTGGTAACTTTGATGTTCGTTTACAGGTGAAATCGATTCATTAAATGTAAAATGGTGATGGTACGAATAATAAATTGATTTTTAAGGGGGTTGTTTTTCGCTGTAAAAAATATTGTGAAACTAAGCATATTCATGACTGCAACATTTCAGAGGTTTTATTTATTTTTCACACGCCTGTGAACAGCATTGCCGTTTACTTGGTGTGAATGACGTCATATCAGCTTTTACGCGTGCGCCGACGTTACCATTGGTCTAAAACTTTCTGCTCACCAAAGTATCCTACATTATTTAGGCCATTGTTTGTTTTAAATAAATGCGTTTAGCGCTTCTATTAACTAAACAATTTTGCAGTGGATCCTTTTACAAAATGTTTGTTTCATTCATTATATATTTATAAAAATTGACCGCGGCAAGGTCAAGGTCGATCTACGGATTTATAAACCTGAAAATAGCATTGTTATCTGATGTGAAGCATAAGATAATAGGTTTATCCAGTTTTTTCCATCATCTTGGCTCGCAGCTTTCAGACAAAAACAGCTAACACAAGAAATGTTACTTGTGCTCACCGTTCCTCATCACAATTCGAAAAGAGTCCCGGAGGAGCTCTTCTGGCTGCATACCAATATTATCGATGGTCATAACATTATTTTAAGGGGGCTTGAGAATAAACTGTCATAAGCCCATAATTAGCTTTATTTTCTTCTTGAGAACTTTCCTGTTACAATGGTTTACTTTCTGGAAATGCAGGAAGTGTAGCTGTACCACGCACCTTTGCATACATCTGTAACTGTTGAACTACTTTTGCTTAGATTTCCAGAATTACACAAACTCCTGTTACAGAGCGTCCTGCCCCATTTGCATAAATGATCGCTCCTTTTTGTCAATTTTAATACCCGCATATTATTATGGAAAGTGTTTTTGAGTCATAGTTAACTATGTTTTGTGTCTAACGGTAACAGAATTACTGACTTTCGAGTCAATTCAATCCGTGGCCTTTACACAATTTATAGTAGACATGCACATTATATATTAAAGCCGGTTTACTGATTTCGCCATTAATATTCTATTTTATTGAAAACATATCTAAAAACAATCAAGAGACTGTATGAAAGTCTAAAATCGTAGGAAATATTCAGGCATTAGTAGAAAACACTAACGGTACGAACAAGTTGAGGTTTGGAGATTTTGAATTGATGCGTCCCATATATGCGTTTTTAAAAGGCACTTATTTTATCCGTCATCTGACACCACAAAACATATTAGAAATCATATCATTTTAACAATCAAAATAAGCGTGACTTCACACCGTATGACCTAACAAACCACAATCGGCATATGTACTGCTAGAATTTACATTTACTTGGACACCAATGAATACAACGCTTTAAATATTATATTATTATATTATATGATTGAACACCATTACCGTTTTCCCTATTACAATTCCAATGAACGAATTAATTTACATACGTGGGCAATGCTCTCTTCTCTCATGTGAAATAACATGTTATCTGTTCAAGTCGTATATGTGAATTCAAACAGCGGGTCGCTTTAGTTCAAACGATAAGACTACTAGCACCACAACAGCTGTTGCATTATTATTCGCGATTTATACAGAAAACTAGCCCCTCTTGCAAGATTGGTTAAAATAACCTATTCCTCATCAAGAAAGTTTGAGGAAAATGACTATTCAAGACATGTCGTATTCGTAACCAAGTAACCGAATGAGTCAAAGTATTCAAACTGAGGTGACACCAATGTCTAAACATACCAGTCACACATATTATGTGTTATATTGTATATTAATTTCGATATGATCAGTATATACCTACACCTTAGGCCATTTCACTATTTGGAGGTGAATATCTATCTTAATTAACATGTATCGATAGTTATATACCGGGTAAAAATGTTAGAATGGAAATTGTTTGCCTTGCATACCATTCAGGTAATTGTACGTGATATTCCGAACTGAAGTCACCCGCGGCAAATGGATTGGTCCATTTTCTAACTATAAAATGGGTTCATATCAGACAACGTCATTATTTGTCTTGGAACAAGACAGGTACGTATCATTTTAACTATGTCCGCTATTCAGCTATTCCACACGTTTCCTTTTAAAACAACATAAAGTTTTGAGAGTCAATCCATCTTGTAGAGAGATTACCAACAATCGTATTCTCAGATTTCAATAATATATACCATGTTAACCAAAAATATTCTGAGCACATGCATCATATCAAGTGACCAAAGTTTCAAATTGATTTTAGCAGTATATAGACATTTACCTTTTTCTTGAAAACTACCTGTTAGCGGACCTCTATCAGATGTGTTTATTCCGTGACGATCTCATTTTTGGTGAAATAATGTCATATTCAAGTTAGATTAATAAGTTAAAATAGATTCCATATTGACACCACTTCTAATTTTCACATATACCGCGTCTTGTATACGTAGAATATCACGATGAAGTTTGTCATCCTAGCGACTATTGTAGCCATTGCAGCTGCTTACCATGGACCGGAAGTTCCCATTCATCTAGACAGGATAGATAAACAGGCCGAAAACTGTCCATGGAACCCCCAACTAGCTTCATATAATCCAAAAGGTAAGGAGGTTTCAAAATTATTAATCAATGAATAGAACTGAAACGTAACATTTCTGGGTAATTTTCATTGCGCGACAGGATAATAATTTTGTTTTCAAGACTAATACCGTATTTTAAAAAGACGTCTAGTTATGTGGTATTCGGTATAATACGTATGAATCATTTGTATATACATTTGATTATAACTCTCACCAACCTCTCCATATTCAGCCATGGCCGTCATAATCACACGAGATCTCGTCATCTCGAGATTGGCCGCGATGAGGAGCGATGTGACAACTTGCGCGCTTGTTGCTAAACAAAGTGTGTATTTATTTATATTCATATCCTTTGATATGAAGAAAACATTACAAATTAAATTGTTTGTGCTTTCATACTTTTATTATAGTGTATGTAAATAACGATGCAGTCGTCTACATAGTAGGCCACGGTCTTGATGAATACCATGACAACTTCGCAAAACCAGGCGGTGGGTCTAATGCAGACATACTATTTGATTTCTTTTCACCAAATTTGGTAAATATTCTACAATATTTTGACCCGGTCTCACATGTCATTATCTGCATCACCCAAATATTTCTCACAAACCCTATACATGTATTCAGCTATCCTGTCCACATAATAACTGAATATCTCTGCCCGTCGCCATCCAATCAACACCCATGTAATGTATTGTCATCCAATCAACACCCATGCAATGTATTGTCATCCAATCAACACCCATGCAATGTATTGTCATCCAATCAACACCCATGCAATGTATCGTCATCCAATCAACACCCATGTAATGAATTATTTTGAACATACAATGACACGTCATTAACTGAATATCCTATCTCCGTCTATAGTAATTTATTATTATGACCATATATGGACGTATCAAGAGTGAATTTCTCTGTCTTCGTCACAGCAGTACTGATTTATTTGTATATAATAATCGATAGACTAATTCTTTTTTGTTAATGACTGTGCTGAAAAACATTTGTATCCTGGTTGCAAGTTTCACGATGATCAAGATTGTCCTTGCATCTTCAATGATACATCACAAGTGTGTGTGTGTGTGCTATATTCCGATTAATACAATAAATTAATCATTATTTTATGTACTTGATATAGGGCGTGGATACTAATGGTTTAGGAACCGCAATTGCTGGAGCAGTCGGTGGCTACTACACTGGTGTTGGAAGAAATATTTCACTTGAAGGTGTTAGGGTAATTGATGAACCAAGTTACAAGAATATTGATATGAAAAACTATGAAGATGGTATGTTTCTTGTAATAATATCTTGTTATCCTGTTCTTTTCGTTTGCACAATTTCCTGCATGAGGTTTTAATGGGATCTTCCATAGAAAAAAATAGCCAATGCTATTTTTTGGACACAAACATTATGATTTTAGGAAACATTTTGTTGTTGGACATGTGAAACATACCAACCTTTTGTATACAGGTCTTCGTGCAGTCGTCACTGATTACAAAGGCAGGAAGGCAGAAAATCCCGTGAATTATACCCGTGGCGTTGTACTGTTGTGTCCCTACATTAATGTAACATCAGCTGATACAACAGATGTTGAAATGTACATTATTGATATGCTGAATGAAGATCTAGTTGTTGTTGGCCCTACTGGGGACAGTGAAGATGCTCCATTTAAAAACTGTACCGATTATTTTCCTGGAAATATGGATCAACAAGGGGTAAAAACAATTATTATCAGTAATTATAGTTTCCAGAATCTTGCACTTTCATTGTTTGTCTGTAGTTCATTTTGAATTTGATTATATGTGTAACAAATATTAGAACGTTTTTTAAAAATATGGTAAGATATGATATATGACATAACGTAAATATAAAAATAATTAAAATATATTTAATAAGATTTTATGTTACAGCATTGCCATAAATGAAATATTTTACAATATTACATGTTCCGTTCTACAGTTAATTACAGTGGGCAATTGTCTGAACAGTAACATATTACACCTGAACTCAATACCTGGCGCTTGTAACGAGATTTACGCACCTGGATCATATGTATATACATCGTATTACGACATTGATGACCCAAATAACCATGACAATTACGTGCAAGCGAAGCCGGGCTCTCCGTTGGCTGCAGCTTTAGTTGCAGGTTAGAAATTGTGTATTGTTAGGGCAAAATATAAAAAATATCCATCATGTGTTTTAATTTGATCAATTTATTGTTTGTTCTATATAATGAAATAGCCAGAATAGGCAATATGGATCTATTCTGAATTATAGATTTAATTCATTGTTTTTAATATCAAACTGTTTAGTTCCATTACTTGATAGACAGTAGTTAATCTTCAGAACCAACGATGCCTGGGTTACTGGACATCTTTCTATCAGTCTTTATGATAAAAGGGATGATTCCCACACATCGACAATAGTATACATATCTCTGCAGCCCGTGGTGTGTACATAGTTGATCCGTTACATTCATCGCATATTCTACACTAAATTATAACACCGTATTTCCATCTCTAAACGTCTGGTACAGTCATTCAAAAGAATTTATGGCATATATGCAAATGATTGCCGAAACACAATTTTTTAGTAGAATGTAATACTATAAATTGCAGATTCCAATGTTTGCCCATTGAAGTATTTTATTTTATGTACAACTCGTGGATCCCTGTATTTCTTATTTGGTGACATTACTTTGTATTTTTTAGTTTTAATGATTATTTGGATTATTTTTGCTATAGTTTATTGATACTAAACTCCCCGTTATAGGAGCTGCTGCTATGGTGAGGTCAAGTTGCCCTGGTCTTGATAATACTGAGGTAGAACAAAAGATTATAGAATTTTCAACAACTAAAAATGACGAAGTCCGTCACCCAGTCACCAACGAGGTTGTGGGATACATGCTACGTTATCCGTAAGTGCAGTTAAACTTACATACAAAAGCATGGGTGATGAGATAATCATATATACATACACGCAAAACGAAGCATATGTATTGATGCTGTACTGGAAATACATTATAATGCTGACATGTCACGTGATTTGTATTGGACTACACGTACTGTTTTTATTGGACTACAACGTGTTGTTGTAAAAGTCAGTATGATGCACATATGCAAGCACACGGTGTGCAAGTACTACTACATCACGATCTGTGGCAATGTGTGTCAACAAATATAACTTAAAATAAATATTTCTTAAAAAAAGTTGGTCTTTGTATTCAGTTCAATTTTGTTTTTCGTTTTATTTTTATTATAAGTAATTCATTATAACAAATATTATTTTTATTGTCTTACAGTAATGAAAATGACGCCTACGAGTTCTGCACACCACCTATCACTGCGCAATATACATAATAAACCTGTGTTGCTGAAATCATTATGATCTAAAATAAATAAACATATCAATGTTAAAGATTGCGAGTATGTATTTATGCAAATATAGACTTTTAGTGCTGCACATAACCGTCAACAAAAATCATGACACATGTGTATTACACTTGTGTCACTTAAACAATTATGATTTAGAATAAATAAATCATTATTAAACATCATGAGTATGTAATGTGTATGACTGAGAGGTGCTGGGAAGAATATTTCATATTTGATATGAGAGGGTACTTAATATTTGATGATGTGAATATATAACAATAATAACAATGATCGTACCCGTGGTAGTTGGAGCACTTGGTCTTGTCAACAAAAACACCCTAAAACATGTTGATAAAATTCCTGAAAACCCAAGTCTGCAAGAGATACAGAAAATTGTTCTTAATAGCACTGCACACCTGCTGATAAAAACGTTATCAATTTGCGTGTTTTTGGTAATGAATTGATACGTTTTTGTGTGTATGGTTATCGTTTTGTGTCATCCTTCCTTTTAGCCTCAGGTCTTTGGGTAAGACCTGGGATTAGGACTGTAAAACAGCAGATCAAAAGGACATAGTAGAAAACATAATAATAATAATAATGATAATAATAATACGTACGTAATAATGTACGTTTCTGTGTCACGTGGTATTTTTTGTCAGAATACGTATTTTGTCGTCTTTGTTTTTTGTTGATTTTTATAAATCAACTAATGTAATCCTCCGAACATCTATTTAATATACCACAAAGTGCTTGCAGGTAAACTTTCGACTTATAGTTCCGTATGATTTACGACGTAATCGAACAACAGATTATGCGCACTTGAACCACGATCTTGATTATATTCGATATTGGTACTTGGTGTAAAGACAATGAAATAGTGAAAAGCACAGAGAGTAATGCTATTACAACAAGACAAACATTTTCCATCAACAACGGACCTGAACGTTACCATTTATGGCTCGAAATTGTAAAATAAAAAAGTTGGTATGAATATTGACACCAATGTTTTATAACAAAATCATGTTGACTGATTGAGAAAAATCAGTACAAATCTGGTATTTCTCTGGAAATTTGAAAAATTAAAACAAGTTTATCATTCAAAACACGATTGTTGTTTAATAATTGTTATATACTACCACATCTTGATTATTGTTCTGTAGTGTGAGTGTGGGCCACTCATCATGGTATATTGTTAAAATTAAAAAAGATAACTGCCAAGATAATATTAGATTTTCCATTCATGTCACCAAGCCTGGATATATTAACCACCTTGAAATGGGTCCCAATAAAATTGGGTTTGAATGCAAAAGTGGCGTTATCGTACACACAGTATGACCATTAACGTTCGGCATCTTGAATCTGATCATAAAAAGAAATACATCTGTATACGTGTGATATATGATGTATTTATAAATTTAGAACAGGATTGGTCATGGCATGCTAGAGTTATGGCTCCGGAACAGCATAGTACAAAATGACCAACACGTCGGCCATTTTGTATCTAACAGCAAAAACTAACGTGCATCAATATCATGTGATACAAGACTAAGAACCAGTTCCGGAGTGGAGGAAACACTTTATTTTTGAGAATATTTAAGCACGAAAATGACCACCAGTCGATCATCTTCAATCGGATCATGTAAACGAATGTGTGTCATTTATCTGTAAGGTTTGAATGCCATTGAACTTCGACGTGTGAGATACAGTTTGAGACTCACGGACGCATGGAGGTCGATCGATATGTCCCCGCTTCTTCATTCGTTCACTGTTTTTGCTGTACAATTGTGATGGCCTTCTCGACACTTGGTTTATTATTATTTCCTTCAAATAATAGAGAAATTAATAACACAAATACGACAATTGAAGACATTTATAATATTGGTTTCACTTAGGTGATATTTTAGTTGATATTAATGAATGTCACAGTCTCTGTATTACTTGCCATGAGAAACACGATAAAATACGTAAATGTGGGTAGCAACCACCAGGGTGTGTTATAAAGGGAAGTTTTCTTGATTCCATCCCATTATTAAGAAAACATATAACCATAACGGTAATTGTTCGTTGCATTGTTCACTGACACGACGTTTGAATCAAATTGAATGTTATCATCGGGAACAGTATGACGTTCTCAACACTACACATATAGTCCAGTCAATTTATGGTTTTGACCCATCACAAATTGCAACAGAAATAATTCCAGGGAGGTGTCTATATTGACATACTAAAAGTCTAGAAAAATCAAGGCTTCCGAAATACCTAATTTGCATATATTCAAAATGACCGTTTGATGCATTTTTACAACATGGAAAATATAACTATTAGAACATATCCTATATGATATTTTTTAAATATTCAAGTTGCTGCGATATGGTTTGGTGTGTGCGAATGTATATGACTGAAACATTTTATTGAATAATAATCCTATTTTGCATAAAACCAATATGGCCGTCAAAATAGTATTATTTAAATGTGCAACCTTGGGCAGCCCCTCGGAGTCTGTTTCTCATAATGACTTTGTGAGCCACGCCGTGGGCTGAGGAGGGAACATCGATCCTAGTGACCCGATGTTCACCCCCTCCCCTCTCTCGATCCTGAAACAGTCACTCTCCAGGATCCAGAGTCCTACATTCGGAATTGCTTTGGATCCTACGGAGTGCTGGACGTAGGGGGAAACGCACAGACGGTGTTGATGGGCGGACCTTGGTCCCCCGCTGGATAGAGGCCTAAGTCCTTAGGACAGGTCAATTTTTTTCCGCTGGACCAAGCGCTACCCATTTGAACGGTGTTTGAGACTGGCGCCAGCAGAATCTGGAGTCAAATCTCGCGTCCGATTGGATCCTTCGATTCCTCCCCGACCCCGGTACCACAAATTGGGACGGGTAAAGGGGGTGGACACGTTCATGGAATATTTCAACTAGTTAGTCAGAAACAATCCACGCACCGAGAGCCGTGTGGCGACCCTCAACTTTCGAGTTGTGGCCAGCCCACTGGAACGAATTGTTTTGCGCTGCCAGCACTCTGAAGTCTCAATGACGGAATGCACCAGCCTCCTAGACCAGCAGACACAGCCATTGGTGGGACACCACATGGCTATGTAGGATATCCTGCAGTGTCATCTGGCTCTCGTGGCAGGGGCTGCCTCTGTACAGTGGAATGTGGTTTTGGCTGTTTTCACTGGGCGCATCACCCCCTCAGTTATGCAGGCTGGACCTCCCCCACCCTCTTCTTTTTTGAGGATAGAAGGAGCAGTCTCAGTGCTTTGGGATCCCACTGACTAATTGGTAGAGGTGAGACCCACGAGCCAGTTTGGCTTCTGCCAAGGGCAAGCGGTAAGGACTCCAAGCTGAGAAAATGTAATGACCAAAGTCGGCACCCACTGGCCAGAGGTAGCCAGGAGG